TTTTTCAAACTTTTTTTGATCATAACTTTTTAACGAAGGGCGAGCGACGGCTAAAACTTGTTGGAGGTTACTCAGGGTCATGACCTTGACAACATATGTCAAGGTCAAGGTCATTGGAGGTGGATCCCCTAAAGTGAATAATTACCGTTATTTTTTATTGATTAGTTAATTTTATTTTACTTACGAATTTTAAGTTTGAGTATGCAGCTTCTAATTTTAATATTATGTTATTATGCTCGATCAAATTTTAATATTATGTTATTATGCTCGATCAAATTTTAATATTATGTTATTATGCTCGATCAAATTTTAATATTATGTTATTATGCTCGATCAATATCTTGTCCTGTCAAAGATATTTTTTTAACAGTCTTCAAGAATTTAATTTACGATGTGATACAATAAGACTGAATAGTATAATAACAAAGACTAAATAAATATAATAGAAATAAGATAAAAATTTATAACAAATATCCATTTTATTAATAAAAAACGTTTATCAAATCCTTATTTTATTTATTAATTCTTAATTCTAAAAACCTATCCTAATATTTTAAATTAATCATAAAAATCTATCCTAATATTTTAAATTAATCCTAAAAACCTATTTTATATACACAACATGAATTATTAAAAAGAATTTTTCGACTATTTATTCTCGATGAATATATTGCAAATAAAACTCATTTGATGAACCTCATTTGCAATGTATTCATTATTCTTGTTCTTTTAGCATTCCCTAACTGAGTGTTATTATCGCAAATAGGTGCCCGTAACTCTTCACAATATTGGACGCCAACAGTCATTACATCATTTTGTAATATGCAAATATTATGCAATACGCAACATGCTATAATAAACTCCGGAACTTTTTTAAGATCTGTTAGTGGTAGACAATCTAATAGTATTCTAAACCGTATCTTTAACTGTCCAATCGCACGTTCAATTGCCATTCGTGTCGACGATAGACAATAATTGTAATTTTTTTGTCGATTTGATAAATGGCCATTGTCTCGAAACGGAACCAATAGATGCTGATGAATTGGATATGCAGCATCTCCGATAATATGGGAATCATTAGGAAAGTATACATCAGATATCTGTAGAAAACTTGCAATTGGAGAGTTTCTAAAAACTCGAGCATCGTGAACTGATCCTACTTGTCCAGCATAGCAGTGTGTAAAGAGACCACGTGAATCGCATACTACTTGGAGGATATTTGTTGTTGAACCGATTTTATAGCCGATTTTCGATCGATTTTTTCGAAAAAAAAAAACGGGTTTTTCAATCAAAACGATGCCATTTTTTTAAAAATTCATTTTTCAAAAAAATCCTACAATGTTCACTTCATTTTACCTTATATTTTAAGAAAATCTTTGGTTTTTTGTTCTAGATAAAAAATTGTGACCTATAGATGTACGCCAATGCGAATGTATAAAAAAAAACGGCTTTTTTCCAGTGTGCTTCCACGCCGCCATTTTGTATTTAACAAATTGAATAAAATATGTTTTTTATACCTAAAGACTAGTACTTTCATTAATGCAAAACCCCATATTAAAAAAAATGTTTTGAGTTCACAGTAAGCCTTTGAAATAAGGCAGTTTTGCAGGTTACAAGGTGATATTACCCCTTAAATAGAGCGTCTGTGCTGTGGCACAGCATCCCGTTCGCTAAAAATGCCTTAGGTATATCCCAAATAGATGGGATATATATGACAACTAATTAAACAAACAATACAGGAGCAAAGCACTTGTATTTTGCTATACGACATGCTTTACTATTCCTCTACACATATGTATTGCAAAATAACTACTAAGTCTTTTACACGTTCTATAATAATCATTGCATGTAGATTATAAATTATGATGGCACTACTTATTACAGTAAAAAATCGATTTAACTCGCAATAATTTCATTAATATTAACAGTAAAAAACTGAAATCATAACATAATACTAATATATCATAAAGGCATGTAACAAAGTAATTGACGGAAAATTATCCCCACTCCTTCTATTTTTTCTGACTTCTGCGGCGTATTTCCTGACGCGGCGTATATACCGGGTTTACCCTAAGTAATTTAAGATATATTCAATGTATTAGTTTTTATAATAATTATTAATTGTATTATATTGAAATGTACAGTGTTCTAGGGAGTACAATGATAAAAAAATGTCAATTTTATTATACTAGAACATAACAAGCGCGCGCTTCGCGCGCGCCATTAAAATTTTCATTTAATAAAAAATGACGTAGTAAAGCGTAAATTTTTATTTATGATTAATTTTCTTTTTTTTTAACATCTTAAGATCGTTTTGGATATGTGAATCGACTATAAATATTGATCTATGACTATTGGCTTTTTATTGATGGTGTGTCGAAGGGATAATAACCTAATATCCGCACTCGAAGTTTCGTATATACATATATAAATTAAAGTTTTATTTTATATAGAATATTTTTGTATAAATGTTCACAAATAAATGGTGGGCGGCAACGCCTGGGAACGATTCGAACGTCCTGAGCCGCCTTCTTGAACTCCGCCTGGGGATAATTGTAGTATTACCCTGAGTCAAGTTCGAACGAGCGTGTCACGTATTGCAGTCAAAATAACAATGTCTCCTCCTAACGAATGCGAGGTTAGAAGATGAATGAAACTATTATAGGCTCCTAACGAATGCGAGGTTAGAAGATGAATGAATCTATTATCCCCTCCTAAGGGTATGATTATGGTGGGAGGCGGAAACACGGCGATATCGTATAAACAAAGAAAACATATCGATGACGCAAAAAATAGAGGACGATTTTCCCCTGCCGCCGCTGCCATCCCGCCTCGAATACGCATGATTTAAAAGAAAATAATTCTTATTTATATGTATGTGTATGACTTATTAAGTCTACGATATAACATACTCCCCCCGTTGAGAGGGTGCACCGATCAATTGTTAGTATAGGCCTTAAATTATTACAGAACATGTTCACGTATACAATACTATGGATAACACAAATGTATATAATGTATATAATATATGTCAGGGTATAATATAACGTATATAATGTATATAATGTGTGTATATATCAAATGTATATAATGTATATCGTTTTTAACGCATATAATGTATGTAGTGTGTATATATAACGCTTGTTGGCTATTCGTTTGGAAGCGGACATAAAAATCTAACTGATCTTTTAATTTCTCCAGCCGCAGTTTTAACGGTAGCCACGCGTACAATTCCATCGTCGCCTGGATGTAGCATCGTAACTCGACCTAATGCCCATCGGGTGCACGGAAGAGCTTTGTCTTTGATGAGAACTACATCTCCCTGACTGAAATCAGGCTTGTCCTTAGTCCATTTATTGCTCTGGAGCTCGTTTAAATATTCGAGGCTCCAGCGCGCCCAGAAATCTTGTCGCACCTTACAAATATGTTGCCAGGTGGAGAGCCTATTGACTGGAACAGTCGATAGATCATGATCCGGCAGAGTTGTTATCGATTTGCCAATCAAATAATGAGCTGGTGAGAGTACTAATAAATCGTTCGGGTCTGATGATATAGAAGTGATAGGCCTAGAATTAACAATACCCTCGACTTCAATGGTGAATGTGTTTAATTCTTCAAAAGTAAATAAGGAATTTCCGACAACGCGTTTAAAATGATGTTTGAAAACCTTTACGGTAGATTCCCAGAGCCCACCAAAATGGGGAGCTGATGGTGGAATGAAATGCCAAATGATACGGCGTTCGCTTGCGAATTTATTAATCAAACCTCTATGCTCTTCTGAATTGATGAGAGCGTATAGTTCTTTAAGTTGATTGTTCGCCCCTTTGAAATTGGTCCCATTGTCAGAATATATGTGCTCCGGCAACCCTCGCCTAGCAACAAATCGACGTAAGGCTGCGAGAAAACCTTCCGAGGTTAAATCGCTCACCACTTCAAGATGTACGGCTTTAATTGACATACATATAAACACGCATACGTACACCTTGATACTCGTGCGGTTGCGGAATTTCCTTTCTTTGATAAAGAAAGGACCGCAAAAATCAATTCCTACGTTAGTGAACGGAGCGGCCGGTCGTATGCGGACCGCGGGTAGATCTCCCATTTTATGATTAACCGCACCGGCGTCGAAACGATGGCAATTCACGCATGAGCGGATAATCTTGCGTACTTGATTTCGACCATCAGGTAGCCAAAATTTTTGACGAAGAGTGTATAAAGTTGTTTGTATGCCGGCATGATAATGATTTTCATGAATTCCTCGAATAATGAGATCGGTTAACCGATGTCTGTTTGGAAGGAGGATTGGATGTTTTTGATCAAATGAAAGCGCCGACTTTCGGAGCCGTCCTCCAACGCGTATTAAACCATGTTCATCCAAAAACGGATTCAAGCTAATAAACTTGCTTTTCTTCAGCACTCCCATATTTAATTGCTTGATCTCGTCCGAGAATCGAATAGCCTGAAGTAATTTCAACACTAGCATTTCTGCGTTGCCGATTTCTTCTGCACATGGTAATCCGCGATGTTTATTGGCTGGGAGAAACCGCAGGCAATACGCAACGATTCTAAGTAGCCTTTGATAAGATGAGAATTTAAGAAAAATGTTAAGATCGGTCTGTATAGCTATTAGACAAGTGTTTCTTTTTAATTCAGGTATTTCGATAACTCGTATAATTTTATTGGGCCATTGGTGCTCGTCCTCACTCAACCACGAAGGTCCCGCAAACCACGTTCGGTTTCTAATAAAATCTCGAGGAGTTTGTCCTCTAGAAATCGCGTCAGCAGGGTTGCTCGCCGATCCGACATGCCGCCATTGATGGGTTCCAGTGAATTTTCGTACGCTTACTACTCGATTCGCTACGAACGTTTTCAACAAGTGCGGAGGCGTATTCAGCCAATGTAGTACGATTGTGGAATCGCACCAAAAAACCGTCTGATTAATATGAATGCCTATAAAATCCATCAAGCCAAATTTTGTCTGCAGGTCTGTCTGAGTTGACGTGGAATGTCCCATATATGTCCTGAAAGGCGGCATCGCCACGAATAATTTGAGCTAAAAAAATTTTAAATCGATCAAACCGTTCTGGACATAAGAAAAAGCTAATTACATCACGCCCACATAACATTTATGTTGCATAAGATATATAAAAGACTTAGGTATCTTAAGCAACATACATTTAGACGTTTTTATCAATAACATTGGAGGTGTTCAACAATCCTTCCTTTTTAGGACAGAATCTTTGGAGCATTCCAAGAAATTATCTTACAGTAACAATTTGAGGATTCAAATGTTTTTAAATTAATTAGTAATGATTAAAGCTCTATAATCACGGATATGACATTTCTCACTTAGTACATTATGCTTTATACATTACTTAATTAATTATTCATTCATTAATTTTCAGATATTTTTTATTTATTTTTTATTTATTAAATTAACGCGATCGCATATTACAAAAGAAAATTATTAAATAAATGTAAAACAGTTACTTTTCGTGGTAATATATTATTATTAGATAAAATGGTTTAAATTTTTAAGTATCTTTTTTTGAACATGGCTTGAACTTTTCATTTTTATGATATGATTTTTTTGGATATCACTTACTTTTCAGAGTACAAATATATCACAAATATATATATAAAAATAACGAAAAAGAGTGAAATACGGCGAAATAGAGGGGTGGTGGAGGTGGATGGTGGGGAGAGGGGGTGGAGGTCCGTTGGGTCAAAGATGGTGGAGGTGTGAGTGAAAGGTAAAAGAGGATGTTAAAAAGTTGTAATAACGAAAGAGAGTGAAATACGGCGAAAGAGAGGGGCGGTGGGGGTGGGTAGTGA